TTGTAATCATTCCTAAGGGAATAAAAGTGGCAGCCATGTTGGATGATGTTCACTATAGGTGGTTTGTAATCATTCCTAAGGGAATAAAAGTGGCAACCATGTGGGATGATGTTCACTATAGGTGGTTTGTAAGTGGCAGCCATGTTGGGTGATGTTTACTATAGGTGGTTTTGTAAAAAGTGGCAGCCATATTGGATTAAAGTTTGTCAAATACATACCCCAGATATGTTTTGCCACGACTCCTTGTTGTCTGGTTGTAGAACATTGCTCACTATCTTCATATAATTCTGAAAATGAAAGCATTTAGCATTATTACTTATTATTAATTGGTATTATTTAGTTTTCAAAAGACAGACACGCAACAGGATGTGCATATACAGTCACGCAAAAAGAGACACAATCGCAGTCACGCGATAAGAGAAGCGCAAAGGCTGAATCACTCAACAAGAGTTACACAAAGACTGTCACGCAACAGAATATGCATATTGATTAACTTTAACACTTCCTCCCCTGGAATCCATTCACAAACTCCAAGACATCTACTGAGCCGACGCAAATCTAGGCTAGTTTCTAACATTTATGTATGATTTTTTTTCCAAAGTAAGCCTTAGGTTTACTGATGCTGCCTAGAGAGATGAGGCGGTAAGCTAGGTGGGATGGGATGGGAAATCATACAAGACATGCGCAATAGGTAAATTACGAGCCTTGTATGAAACGACTGAAGAAGAGGGCCAATGGGCCTTTAACAACAAAGTCGCGTAAAAAATGCTGCCTAGGGTTACTTCTAGACTAGACACGACTAGAACGACTAGACACTGAAATAAAAGTGATTTACTGATACATGAAAAAAGCGCTTGATTTTTATATGGATACGCGCCAGCCTACAGTCACAACCTATATATTCTTTCTTGACTCACCGTTAATAACAACTTGGCGTAAACTACCGAAGAATTGATGTTTTCCTTGATGACTTTTGACTGCAGTTGGTCCAGCACTTGTACCGTGTCCTTTAGTTCTTTGCTACTGATCTTTTTTGTTTCGGTCAGCGAGTCAGACAAGGCTTTGGTGATTTCTACCAGATCTGTTGTACTACTGGCATCCTGAAAATTAGGTGGGAAAATGTGATTGCATATTTGTTTTAACTGGATTTTTTTTTCAGTCCACAGCTGGCGCAGCGGTAGTACGCTCGCCTCTGATCCTCTGGCATCACAGGTTCGATTCCTGGACTCGGCATCACATGTGAGTAGAGTTTGTAAGGTATCGAAAACTTGATCCCTTGAAGAGAGGGTATTTCTTCGGGGTCTTCGGGTTCTCTTCCTACAAGACCTAACAAATTAGTCTAGTACGATCTGTGGGTCAGCCTACGCTGACTTTGATCAAACCAGTGGTCATTTAAGGGTTTGATATCTGTGAGTTAGTCATGCGACTTTGATCAGCCCAGAGATTGTTTCATGGTTCGATATCTGTGAGTTAGTCATGCGACTTTGATCAAACCAGAGGTTGTTTCATGGTTCGATATCTGTGAGTTAGTCATGCGACTTTGATCAGACCAGAGGTTGTTTCATGGTTCGATATCTGTGAGTTAGTCATGCGACTTTGATCAG